AATATCCGTGTCGAAAGGGTAGCGGCCGTCGATGGTTAAAATAATACGAACGTATCGGTCGAAAGGAGGTTTGAAAATATTTTCTATTAGTCGCGGTCTATATCTGTTTCCGAATATTTTTCCTCGGAACCCGCACGAGGAGTGTTTACTTTCAAATCTATTGCGTCGTTTGGATAATCGATCGCACGATTCTGGATCTGTAATATAAATTTATTATTACGATAATTAATATTATTCGAGGTGATGGGATATTTTTAATTACGATTCGTAATTCGAGGAAAGTTTAATTCGATAATAATTTGTCATAAATTTATTTTACTTGATATATTCTAGAAAATGAAACGAACATTTATTATTAACAATTATGTAGAAGAATTATGAATTAAATTATTGTTCGTTAAATTATTCATTGTAATATAATAAATCGAAAAGGTTTGATTGAAAAAAAAAGATTTGCATCGCGTAAAGTAGCAAAATATTAAAAAAACGTAAAAAGTACATAAATCCCTCGAATACGGATTATATTTAGACGAGCGCGTTATACAGTCGCGAAATCCAGGATTCCATATTCGAAACACGTGCACGATCTAACGGGTGGCATCGTCATCGTCGACGAGGGTATCCATCCAGTTTTATACCACGAACAAAGTTGTCTAGACGAAAAGATCGGGTTTGGGTATAGAGTGAAAGGTACACAGGGCTGGTAACGAAGTTTTCAAAGACAACATCGAGTCTGATATCTAACGAGTTCATTCCACTCGGGTTCCATGGCAAAAACTGCAAGTGGAGATCTCTATCTTGCTCCCTTTCCGCCCAGGTCACCGCTCTACCGCTCTCCCCCCGTATCCATTTTCACCCCTTTCCACCGACCGATGCGCAATTCCCTTTCCGTGCATTGTTCAACCGTTGCTCGTGGATTTTAATTTTACAAGGTATTATTGAGAAAGGGATAATGCGCTTTGATCATTCGAGTGTGTGTCTCTTATCTTATCGAATAAGATATCTTGTTCTTCTTTTTTCTTTCTTATAGAGGTACTCGTGAAATAAATTGAATAAGATTAAACTTTTATGAATCTTTTTTGAACTAGTTACTACACGCATCGAAAAGAAATTTTTAAAAATTATGAAAAGATTATAGTATCCATTCTACTGGTTGCTTACCTTTTTTTTTTTCTTTTAACAAAGAGCACACGAAGTAAAATTAAAACTAATCTAATTCAACGATACGATTGGCGCATATCTACATCACATCATCATGCAAAACGGAAAACTGATATTTAACGTGAAAATCAACCTGGAATCGTGGATGTTCTTACCTCCGATTCCGGCGACTGAACGATCAACGACGTTCTCGGTGGTTTTTCCGGAGGCACCTTCTTCAAAGTGCCGGTGAAGGAAGCGGAGGAGACGGCGGTGGTCGAAACGCCCTCGTGGCCGTCTATCTGGCACTGAAGCCGATGGAACTGCGAAAACGAAGCGCGCGACGCGTCGGTGCGCTCGAATTGCGGCAGACACGGCAACGGCATCTGCGACATGTTCGGTATCTGAATAGAATTCGGGTCGCTGGTATCGTGTTGCAGCCTGGGCGATAGCTTCTCGCAGACAGACGATTGGCAGGATTGATGATTAGAGTTTTGTGAATAGGAAGCGGTCAATAACGTTTGATGATGGCTGTGCGGCGTATTCTGGCTCTGCGTCAGGCAACTCTTATCGGACGATTGTTCTTGGTGGTTGGGCAGCGAGTTCGATTGAATCTGGTGGATCTCGTTCCCGATCCCGTGCGGTTGAAAATCGGTCGATCTTTGCAATTTGTCGCACAATTGGTTCTGCGCCTGCAGACTTTGCAGCCTTGCCTGCAAGTCGCTCTGTTGGTGTTGAAACTGCGCCACTTTGTCCAGGATTTGATTTTGACTCTGAAGACATTGAAGCTTCGCCTGCAGATCGCTCTGTTGCCGTTCGAATTGGCTCAGTTTCTCTGAAATTAAATCCAGGCTCTGTTGATTCTGCAATTGTTGTTGCTGTTGTTGTTGTTGTTGCTGTTGTTGTTGCTGCTGCGGCGTCAGCGTGTCGGATTTTTCGTTCTGTGGATCCAATTGGCTTTGAAGATTGTCCGTCTGGCTCTTACTGTGGGTCAATAGGTTGCCAGAGACATTGTGACTCTTGCGATGACTGTGAATTATGTGATCCACCTGATCGATCGGTTTGCCCAAGCCTGTTTCACCGAAATCGGTTACCACCGTGAGAACGGTCTTGGTATCTAACTTGGCTTCGCTCAGGGCTGGATACTGATGGCATATGTTGGGACTGGCCCTTTGAGAGGAGGTCGTGCTGGCAGGAGGTGGTCCCAGATTCGCCACGGATCCGCTAATGGGCTGCTCCTCGAACTCCTTCCTCGATAGTTCCATGTGTTTCGTCAGATCGGCGCTGACGTGACGCAAATGGCGACGTTGCTCCATTATCGTCCTCTGACTGATGTTGGGAATCGGTTGAAAGGCCGACTGGCTCATCCTCCCTTCCTTCCTATCGTCCGCCGCCTGATGGATCTGCCCTCTCGGATCTCTCCTCTCCTCGNCTGATTACGGGAACGCGGGCTGGTGGACGACATCATTTGATTCTGCATCATGCTCCTCTCGTGCTCCTGCCGTTGGCGTTGCTCGGCCCATATCGTCAACTCCTGCCTCGTCTTCTCGAAATTTTGATTGACGAACGAGGGACTCTTCTGCCCGCCACGATCCGCCGATCCCTCGCGGATCGGCATGAACGGCATAGGAGACCTTCTAACGTCCTCCATTCTTTTCCCTTCGATGGTCATAGGCGACCTCCTGTGCTCGTCGAAGTAATCGGATCGCCTGTTTTCTTGCGGCATCGCCACTCTTTGATTAGGGCTCACGTTGCCCCATTCGGGCTTTCTGTCCGCCCCTATGCTCTTCCTATTCTCTTGTCTCGTATCAAAAGCCATCGGAGATACTCTCAAGCTCGTGTCCAATCGCCTTTGATCAGGCGGATACACTTGATTGGCTTCGACCCGTTTCGGATCCACCATGCTTCCGCCCTTCCTGCCCGCCATCAATATTTCCTGATTCCCGTCACCGGGGAACGTGAAGGTGATCGTGTCGTTCCGCCGCTGGAAACTCGATGTAACGTCCACGGAAATAGACTTTCTATGTTCAGGCCTGGCCACGTACAGGCCGCAGTCGGCCGCCACGGCCTCGCACATTTTTTCCCGCCCAGGTGGCGGCTGATCCTCGTTCGTATCCACGTACAACCCGTCCTGTCGTGTCCGCGGATTTTGATTGATGGCCGCCAGATACCTCCTGTCTTGGGCGTCGGCCACTATCTGTGCACCCTGGACGATTATCGCCCCGTCGCTCCGATGGATCTGCTGCTCCTGCGGGACAGGATTTTGACCGGGATCGTATTTAGGCTTCTGCATCCCGGCCACGTCGACGCTCGCCGATTTTCTGTGCCCGGTGTCGTGCGTGATCTTCGAGTTGCCTCGGGGGGGAACCATGGGTTTCGGCCCACGACTCGGTCGCTCGCCAGTTGCCATCGCGAGACCGTGGGTCACGTTCTGGGCGATCGGTTGGATGATCGGTTGGGTCTGGTATTGGCCCAACTCCTGCGAGAATCTCTGAGGATTGGGCGATTGTTGGCCGAACTGTTGACCCGGGTAAATTCCCGCGTGGGGTGTGTACGGTACCGCGTTCATCATTGTCTGGGGATATTGGGTGTAAGGGTATTGGGGCTGGGTACCGTATTGGGCGTAGCCAGTCGGTTGAGGCACCACCACGCCTGAGAAGTACGGCGGCTGAGGACTGGCGGATTGAGGGGGTATTTGCGACCCGTGTT